TGTCGCCATGTCTCATTCACACACATCTTCCTATGGGGTGAGGTCGTAGCTGGCTTTTGCAGGCGTGCGTATAGATGGCAAGTCCGCGGACGACTGCTGTCTTATACGCGCGTGCGCAYTGGCCAGTTGGTCAGTTCCTAAACCACGCAAATAATCAAGGACGATCCGTCTGCGTACCGGCTCAACCATGCAGCTAATTCCCTCGGGCTATCAATCTGTTCCGTTGTGGACATTCGCACAACATGCACACCCAGTGGTCCCAATGTGGAGTCGGACCTTAATTTGTCCCGACCCGTATCGCAGATGAAGATTCCGTCATTTACGTTGAGATTTGTCGTGCTAAGCCCATTCGGGGTTGCGGGCCGGCCTCGCAGGTGCGCGTGTAAGTCGTGCTCGTCAGATCGCGCTTACACGGGGACTCGCGGGGTTGGTCCGTTGTGGATCGATCCATCAGCCAATCATCTATGCAAAAGAAGGTTTGTGTGGTCATGCAATAATCTCTCAGCCGTTCTGGTTCGAGCAAAAAGCAGTTACGTGGCCATCAGAGGGATATCTCATCGCGATCCAGACATACATCGAAGCACCACAACAGTATCAGACTCCATTCACCTACCAATCATCCGGGTGAGAATAGAGCGGCGCTGCGAGCACGAGATGATTCAGGATTACACGCAAAACATCACGTATTACAAGATCCAACGAATGCAAAACGAAAGAGGGAGGACATAGATTGAGTCGTACATCACACAAAACCCAAAGAAATGTCAAAATGCAAAACAAGGGCATCTCGCCCGGAGCCAAAATTTTATATACAAGGACGGAGAAAGGACAAAGAAGATTGCAATCCCACATCCACCTATTTCCCCTCTCTCTCTCTCTCTGATGCGGACAGTTCGTCATCTCGCACCCACCCACGAAGTTGTCACCCCGTTTAGTCCGCATGCGCCCGTCAGGTTCGCCCGTGCGCCACAGTCCATCGTGGCCTACACGTCAACCCCGCGCACTTGGCACCAGCTCGTCGGGTCGCCCAACTCCCACATCAACTCGCCTCTTACTTTGCGCATTAGCCGACCCTCACTGATCACGCTAACCTCAAGCTTCCAAAAATTTTAAGAGAGCTATCTAATCGCGTCGACGAAATTTATAGCATGCATGCGTGCGCGAAGATGCAAGGTTGCAGGGATTGGAAAGAGGAGCAGAGAAGGAAGTGCCTACGCTTGGCATGGCCAAATCATGGCGTGGGGGACGCAGCCACTCTCTGCGCATCGATCTAGGCATGCAGCGCTCAGGCCAATCAGATGCAGCAAAAAGAAGGGGAGAAGGGCGGGAAGAAGGCGAGGGAACAAGAAGAAAGATACAATTACAATGGCGCCCACCCAAAGATTACAGTTGCATGCAAGATTATGGGCGCCGCTTAGTCAGAACTTCGTTCCCGCCGCAGGAAGATGCGCGCAAGAAAAAGGCGCCGCTCGGCAAGAAATTCAAAAAGTCCTAAATTCCTATCTGAGCT